TGTCGCTACCTTGTGTTGGGGGCTGACTCTGAGCCAGGGCTGCACTTCACCGGGGCAGAAGGTGTGTCAGCCTTGTTTCCACAGCTAAGGAGACCGAGGCGTGAGAGGTTGGGCAAGTGACTTGTCCAAGGTCACCCAGATCCGAGGTCACTCAGCTGCTGGGTTTGGCTCCAAGGCCTGTCTGCTTTGCCACTATACCACCCTGGCGTGCTCTGACCTGGATGGGAGGGGTCCTCCCGGGGGGACCTCGGGCCCCAGTTGGGAGTGGTAGTGCTGTCCTCGGACATGTCCACAGCAGGTGTGTACACGTGACCAGGGGTCCTCCCTGTGCCCAGTGCCCCCATCCGGGCTTCTACCCACCTTTATGGTGTATTTGTGTGAATTGGAAAAGGTACCCCCCTTGGGCAGGTGCAACCCTCGGGCACAGCCTGGGGTGGGAAGGGAAGGCTGGGTTTCTGCACCCACTGAGCCCCTCAGGGAGGCGTTCTGTGCAGCGGGGTGGCCTGCCCAAACTGGCCCCCAGGGATGTTCATGGGGCATGCAGTCCGGTGATGCCCTTCCCTGGGACACTGCCCCTTCCCTCCTCCACATCTGGCTGACTCCAACACATCCTGTAAGACTCTATTTAAAGCCTGCCATTGTCATGATTAAATAAAAAGCAAAACAAAAGATTGCCACCTCCTCTGGGAAGCCCACCTTACCCTCCCTGTGGCTCCCAGGCCTCATGCTTCCCTCTGACTTAGTGCCAGTCCTACTCTGAAATGACCTGTTCACTGTCTCCCCTCAGAAGGAAGGCTGCTGTCGAGGGCAGGATGCTTTTCCTTCTCATCTCTGTATCTGCAGCCCTAGCCCGGTACCTGCCTCCGGGTAGCTCCTCGAGGCTCAGCAATGAATGAATGAGTGAATGAATGTCAAGAGAGGAAGGGATACATTTATAAAGGGCTACTTCTTGCCATTCTTCCACTTAATCTTCACAATAGCCCAGTGAGGGCAGGGCCATTCTCATGCCCATTTCACAGAAGAGGATGCTCAGGCTCCCCGGGTTTGTGGCTTGCCCGAAGTCACCCAGTGCACGAGAGGCTCTGCTCTGCCCATGGACCCCGGTGGAGGGAGGGCCTTCTGGGAGGCAGGGGGAGCTCTGCGCCAGTGGCCACAGCACGGCTCTGTCTCTCAGTGGCTCCCGCTTCGTGGAAACGTCTGCCCTCATCCGATTGCCTGATGACTGCACTGTGGGCTACATCGTCGAGTGCAAGCTAGGTGGCCGCCTGCAGCCCAGCCCCCTCTTCCACTCCCACCTGGAGACCCTGCAGCTGCTGGGGGCTGCCCAGCTCCCAGAGCAGGTGAGCTGGCCCCGGGGCAATGGGGGAAGGATGCGTGGGGGGAGGGCTGTCCCATACTGATGGGGAAACGGAGGCTCAAGGTGGGAAAGGACCCTCAGACGGGCCCACAGTGACTCAGCCCTCTCCACCTCCAACCCGCAAGGGTTAGCGTTTGTGATGCTCAAATTCTTTGGTCTGGTCCCCGAACGCCAGCTGGAACGACCTGCACAGACCAGGTGAAGCTTGCCTTCAGGTTCAGACCGCTCCCCTCCCTACCTGCTCTGCTCCCTCTGGTCTCTCTGTTCCTTCTTCCGTCTTCCATCCCCCCCCACGTCCCTCCAAAGGGATCAGGCCTGCTCTTTCCAACTCTGCCTGTCGGTTGTCCTGCCTTCACCAAAGCTTACCTGTCCGCTGCCCCCGTGCTTTCTTTCTAACCCAGATGTTGCTGAGAAAGAGCAGGTGCTTAGTGGGAAACCTCAGGCATAATGTCTGGCTGGGGCAGGGGCACCCCATTCTACCACCTGGCAAACAATGACTCCACGGAGTTCCAGCTGGCTCTGCCTTGCACACACAGCCCTCCTACTCATGGGTGGCCAGTTCCGTAGGGATCCTGGCTGGCAGGGCCCTCGGGATCCTTCACCCAACAGTGCGAGTCAGAACACTTTGGCAGCAAGGGACACAAATGCAACACAGACCAGTCGAACAAACAAGGACATGTATGGGCTCATGAGCTTGAGAAGCTGGGGGCCGCCTTGCTGGCTCTGGCTGAGTCTGTGTGCTCAGACTGTCCCCACTCTGGTCTGTCTTCCCTGACATTGGGCTTACCCACAGGCAGGCAAGATGGCAGCTCCAGGTTTCCACCCCACCGACAGGAGGAGAGCTCCTCCTTCTGCCACATTCCAGGGCTGGTGCTCATCGCTTGGAAGGCCTGCTTGTGTCACATGACCCATTTCCTACCAGGGCCAAGAGTTAGTGTTGATTCGCCAGGCCTGGAACTGGGGTGTAGGGTTGGCCCCAATAAGACTGCAAGGCTTGAAGCCAGGAAAAGGGGGCAGATTTTGGGCAGCCAAAACCAGGTACCCTAATGGCTGGATTTTCAGAATACCCACCACACAAGGCACCGTGCTGGGGTGGCTTTATTTGCTTTAACTCTGTTTCCTTCCAGCATTTGCATGAGGTCAGCACTAACATTCCCATTCTGTAGGTGGGGAAACTGAGGCCCAGAGAGCTGAACATAGCACAGCTAACATAAGGCAGAGGGGGGATTTGAACCCTGCCCAGGTGGCCCCTAAGTCCACAGTCTTTAACCACTGTGGTCAACTGCCTCTTGACGAGGGGCGTTATCCCATGTCCTCATTTTATGTGGAGTAACCCGAGGCTCTGGGTAAAGAGGGAGTGTGAAGGCCCCATGGTGAGTCTCAAGAAACCTCTGTCCAGGCATGGACTTTACTGGAACGGTGCCTTCCCCTCTTGAGACTCAGTTTCGTAGTCTATAGGCAAGGGAGTCGTTCCATCCTCTCAGGTGAGGTGGACGGCTGGGGAAGCAAATAGGGTCTGGGCACGATAGTGCCCTACAAGCTTGAAGCGCCTTGCGGAGTGGGGTGGGCTCCTCAGTGAGTGCTCAGGATGGAATTTCAGGGGCCAAGGCAGGCTCCCTGCGCCCCTCAGAATGTCTTATGGATCTTCCCTGCTTCTGGCCCAATACCGCCCCCTTGTGGGGTCCCCAGCGGGACACCCCGCCAACCTTCACTTTCTTCTCTGCTTTTCTCTGCCCAGGTCACCCTCAGCTATGGCGTCTTTGAGGGGAAGCTCAATGTCATTAAGCTACAAGGCCCCTTCTCCCCTGAGGAGGACCCTTCCAGGTGAGTCTGGGGGCTCAAACTGCAGGATCGGAGGAGGGGGCTGAGTCCAGGCTGCCAAACATAGGGGAATCTGGAGGGAAGGTAAGCCCTGGAGGCTGACAGCGCAGAGCCAGGAGTGGAAGGAGGGGATTTCAGTCTCTGCTCTGCCCCAGGATTGCTGTGTGACCTTGGGCAAATACCTTGCTTTCTCTGGGCCTCAGCCTCCCCATTTGTAACACCAAGGAGCTGGGTGTCATGGATCTGAAGGGCTCTCCCAGCCCTGATCCTCTGGGGTTCTTCAGGAGCCCCTGGAACACTGGAATGTCTTCACTGGGCAAAGGAGATGCTCTAAGGGCAGAACTTCAGGCCCCGATGGGAAATTTTTATTTGAGCTTTTGTAGGCTCTCTGTGTCTCTGATACTCTTCAGTGGTTCTTTTCAGTAGGTAGATGGTTGGAAAGGAGGCTAAAATGGCGCCCAGGCACCTTCCGGTTCTGTCCCTACACAGGCCACAGGGAGGATGGGGCTGTTCTGCTCAGGCCTGGCTGCTGTAGAGCATCTGGGTGCACAGCCTGTGACACGCTGTGGTGGGAGGACAGGCCCGCCCGAAGGAAGTAGCGGCAGCCATTGTGGCTGAGATGCAGGAGGAGAGGGGGCAGGGGACTCCCCAAGGCCTTGGGGGCTCTGTCGGGCCTTCGGATTTATCTGGAGTATGGAACCCTTGGGGGAACTAGGACTCCTGGCTCTGAAGTCCCGTAGAGCTGTCTGTCGGGGGCAGAGGGCTCACGACTGTTCAAGGGGCCCTGGGGCCAGGGCTGTGTTGAACAAGTTAGACATTACAAGGAGACAGAGTTTGGCTCAATATAGGAAAAAAAATTCACATTTCTGAGGTGAAAAGAATCGCCTTCTCTTGGAGTGAGCTCCTCATCAGTGGAAGGGCACAAGTTATGGCTAGACTACCAAGAGGTTTAAGAGTGGATGGGAAATTCTCTTTGAGCCCGAAGATTCTAGAATCCAAAGGTTCCTGCCTAATAGGGCTGGAGCCGACTGGGGACTTAGATACATGTGATCAGATAGTCTGGCCTCAGCTGGGGTCTCTTTGTGGCATCTCTGGCCTTTGAAGTCTCTCTGAACCGGTGGTTTTCATGAGGGGCCACCCCCCTGGGGACATCTGGCAACGTCTGGAAACATTTTTGATTGTGACGACTCAGGGGGGTTCTCCTGGCTTCTCGCGGGTAGAGACCAGGGGTGCTGCTAAACATTGGACAATGCACGGGACACCCGAAGGCAAAGACTCATCTGGCCCTAAGTTTTAAGAGTGCGTAGGGGGAGAAATCCGGCTCCAAACCGTCTCTGTGACATGTGCTGTCCCGGGAGCCTATGGAGTGAGCGTGGGAGTCAGGTGACCATTTGTCCATTTCTGGTCTCTCCACAGGTTCCGTTCCCTCCATTGTCTCCTCTACCCAGATACTCCTTGGTGCCCACAGCTGATGGCCAGATGAACCCTGAACGGCTGGGCAAAGTTTGGGCTGAGGCTTCTGGCTGTCCTTGGCCTCCCCAGGCAGCCCTGGGGACTCGTGGCAAGTGCTCTTTGGCAGGGAGTCCCTGGCAGGGCCTCTGAGTGGTAGGTCAGCCCCGCATTGGATGGTGGCTGGCGGTGAAGGCGTCCTAAGCCCCTGGGAGGTGGGTTGGACAACCCAGAGAACAGGTACACCAGGCGAGGGCCAGAGAGGCCCCAGGGGCTGGGCTTCTATGGGCCTTGGGTGGCTGAATTGAACAAGCATGGAGGGCCCTTGAACTGGGTTGGGGCTCAGGGGTCCTAACCCTCCAGAGAATTACATGGGCCCTCGGGTGGGGTCTGGCCTCCACCCCCAGCTCTGGTCTCTGTCATTCCCCTGCGGTCAAGCACTGGACCACCCACTCCTGGCTCCCTTGGCTGGTTCCCCAACCCCTGAGGGGACCCAGGTGGAATAAGGGCAGAGCCCGGGGTCTGTGGCAGGGGCTGTCATTGCTGACCAGTGTCTAGCTCCTTGCTCCGACCCCTTGCCAACAGATCCCATTTTGCTTGGAGTATCAGCATGCCCAGACCCTGATAGTGGATCATGATGGATCCCAGCCCTTGGTGACGATCCTTTTGCTCACTTTCCCAGCCTCCTTTGCTCAGTCTGTTAGTGCGAATTAAAGCCAGTAGAGAGGCTTCTGGGGAAGACTTGGCAGTCCCGTACCCCATACCTTTATGCTGCGAATGTGGATGTGATGTCTGGATCTGGGGCGGTTGTCTTGTTATCATGAAGGAAAGGCCATGACAATCAGGCACACCTGTCCCTTTTGGCATCTGGTTCTGTGAGAAAATTAAACCCTTACTTGTTTCAACTTCTCTTGGTCCAGTTTTCCGTTACGTGCAGTCAGTGTGTTCCTGGCTGGGGCGGGCTCTTAGATCGGCCTGTCACAGTGGTGATGGTGGTGTTGATTTGGGTCCTGAGCTAGATACCCCTGCTCTGCCTTTGCTGGCTGTATGCATGACCTTGAAGCATCCACTCCGTCTCTCTGGCCTGTATGCCCATTTTATAGAGGAGGGAAGGAACCCCTTCTCTGTGGGTTGATATCTGGGTGAAATGATAGAGCGTTCGTGAAGGGCTCGGCACAGTCTGGCACGGAGAAGGAAGGGTTCCGTGAGCAGTGACTGTTCTAGCGAGTGCTTGAGTCACGGTGAGCCGGGGTGTGTGAGGGTGTGCGTGGCTGTGTGGTGTGGTGTGTCCCCTTTCTACACAGGTCTGTGCATAAGGACACGTGCGGTGGATGTGTGTGTTGGTGCTCATGTCACACACATGTGTGTACAATGTATCCACGTGTGACTGGGTGTGTGCCATGTGGTGCTAGTGGGCTGGGAGCTACTTCTCCTTTTCTCTGCCCTCGGAGCCTGGGTTGGGGGTAGCCAGAGAATTGGGAGAGGCAGAGTGGAGACACAGCCGAGGGAGGCAGCCTCTGGTGTGTCAGAGAAAGGGGCAGTTTGATAGCCGGGGTAGGAGATGAATCAATGCAAACATGCTTAGGATCGCAGGTCCCAAAGAGGCTACCTGAATGAATGAAAACAGTCATGGTAGAAGTTCAGGAGTGCTGGTGCTGAGGTTGGGGAGGCTTAGGGATGGGATGCCTCTTCTCCCCTTGCATCCTTCCCAGTGATGTGGGAAGTTTTGGCCACCATGGGGCTCTGGGATGGGCATAGGAGGGAGGACAGAGGAGAGACCCCGAGGGATAAGCCAGGCAGCCAAGGCTGGGGGCTCCTTGGAGCGCACCCCCTCCGGCCCTTGGATACCCCAGCTAATGATACCCCACCTTGTCCCTCATGCAACTCTGTCTGGCACAGCCTGAACCACAGAGCACCAGAGCCTCAGCCCTGGTTTTCCACGGAGGAGCTTGAGGCCCAGAGAGGGACCACCATGTGCTGTGGTCACACAGCAGGTCAAGTGCAGAGTCGGGCTGCTTGGGCTCTTGCAAAGCATCCTTTCTTCCTGGGCTAAGCTAATGCCGGGTTTGTGGGCCATGAACGGAGTAGGGGTGGCCCTGGCCCTGCAGCCCTGGTGGGGGATGGACTGGGTGTGCTCCACAGCTGTTGTCCTCTCCACCCCGTACCCGGAAGGCTGCCGGCCGGCCTGCTTTTAGAAGCAACAGCAGGAGATTTGCGGGTTGTTCCCAGATCCTGGGGGTCGGGTGGAGGGAACAGGACTCGGGCCATCTGCTGCCTCCATTGTCCCAGAATAGCTGTGGTAGGGAGGGGGAGCAGAGTCAGCAAGGATCAGAATTGGGATGGAGGAAGGGGGGGGGTGTCTGGATTTAACCCTTTGCAGGTCTGTATGGGAGAGTAGAAAGCTGCCTGCACTGTGGACTGATGTGACCCACGTGGGCCCCGCAGGCAGGGCTGGCCATAGGGGAGAGGGACAAGGTTGGACCACCCTGTACTGGTTTTCAGGTGCCCCTTGGGCAGGTATTATTCCCATTTGATAGATTAGGAGACTGAGGCACAGAGAGGGAGAAGGCCCATGGTCCAGGTCACAGGGCTTAGAGGTGCCAGAACCAAGGCTTGAGGCCACCTGGCTCTGCAGTGGTCACCTCAGTGTGGGACGACTCTGGAGGGTCGGGAGAGCTCTACTGTCCTTTCCACTCTGGCTCTATGCTCTTGGGCAGGTTACTCCACCATTCACCGGCCGCACCAGTAAAATAGACACAGTGATTTCTATGTTGTGTGCTGTGCTGTTTTGAGATGCTGCACAGAAAGCTCTTGGCACAGGTACTACCTGTCCAATAAACAACAGCTCCCTGGCCTCTCTCTTCTGTTAAAAGGGAGGGGCGGATAGGGTGCTGGACTGGCCATCCCCTCCACTCCCCTGGGTCTGGACCACTGTCCGCCTCACCTGTGTCCCCACAGCCGCTTCCTTGCTCACTACTGGTGGGTACACTGGCCTCCTTGTTTCCCCTGGTGGATGCCCAGCTGGTTTCACCCAGGTGGGTAATCAGCTTGGGGACACTGATCATTTTTAGTATCACCCCAAAAGGGAAAACCTGACCTTCAGTGCTCTTGATGGAATGCAATAGGAAGGACACAGCACCACCCAGGAAGTTGGCTTGCCCAAGTAATTGGCCCTACACTGGCCACACTTCTAGATCTAAATACCAGTATCCAGGAAATGGGGGGACAGTGGAACATGTCCAATCACTGTGAGGGTTCAGCCCAGCATGTCAACAGGGAGATCATTCTACAAGACGAAGGACGTGGTTTCTTCAACAAGCACGATGGCAATCACAAGGCAGGAAGGAAGGACCGTTAGAGATTATAAGAGATTTGAGAGGCATAGCAACCAAATGCAACGCATGGACCTTGTTTAGACCCTGGTTTGAATAAATGGGCAAGAAAGGGCATTGTTGAGAAAAGTGAGGAAATTTGAACATGGACTTTGTATTAGATGGTATTTTTTTTTTTTAAGATTTTATTTATTTACTTGACAGAGAGAGACACAGCGAGAGAGGGAACACAAGCAGGGGGAGTGGGAGAGGGAGTAGCAGGCTTCCTGCGGAGCAGGGAGCCCGATGCGGGGCTCGATCCCAGGACCCTGGGATCATGACCTGAGCTGAAGGCAGATGCTTAACAACTGAGCCACCCAGGCGCCCTGTATTAGATGGTATTAAGAAATTTTTCATTTGGGGGTGCCTGAGTGGCTCCGTCGGTTATGTGTCTGCCTCGCCCTCTCTCTCTGCCCTGCTCATGCTCTCTCTCTCTGTCCCTCAAATAAATAAAATCTTAAAAAAAATAAATTGTTAATTTTCTTAGGTGTGATAATGATATTGAGGTTCTTTTAAGTTTATTTATTTATTTAATAATGTGTCTATACCCAAGGTGGGGCTTGAACTCATGACTCCGAGATCAAGAATTGCATGCTCTTCTGACTGAGCCAGCCAGGCACCCCCGGGTTCTTTTTTAATAAGAAATGTTCTCATATGTGAGAGATACATTCTGAAATACTTATGGGCGAAATGATATAATGTCTGGAATTTTGACATTGAGGGGAGGAATGAAATAAGAATAGCAAAATAGGGGTGGTTGTGGAAGCTGGGTGTTGGGCACATGGGGATTCATTACGTTATTCCCTTTACTTTAGGGTGTGTTTGGACATTTCCATAATAAAAAGTAAAATAAAGAGGGTCTGTGGATATTCCATTTGTTGGCTCTGGCCTTCCCCCTTCTCTTTCTCCCTCCCCTGCCCCCTCCTCCATGCCCCATATTCAGGCCCAGATAACATCTGTTCTCATCAGACACTGCAGTCTGGTTCCACTTCCTGTTCTCTCCAAACAGCCGGAGAAAGGAGAGGCAGACCTTGACCGGAAGCTGGCCCTGCCTGAGTGACATTTGGCCTCTTGCCTGGTTTCCCCAAGACCTACCCTGATTCTTTTGGTTCTGAGCACTTGTTCCAGCTGCTTTGTAACCCAGTGGCACTCTTCCTGTGCACAGTCATTGGACACATTCCTCCGCCCACTTACCACTCCCCCTAGTCATCTGTCCAATAAGAATGTACTGCTCACCTCCTCTGGGTGGGGGAGGCATCCCTGTGTGAGAGGTTACACAGATGCAAGACCTAGCCTCAAGAGGGAGCTCAAATCCCAGTCCGGACATATTGAAAACATGGCGTATCTTGTAACGATGAAGAAACAAGGCCATGGGGCAAAAGGAGGAAGGACTAAAATCTGGGGGGCTTACAGGGCAGTACAGATCAGGAAGACTTGATGTGTGAGTTGATGGATCTGGGTCTTGAGCTGTGAGGAGATCAGAAGGAGCAGCATGTGTGACACACTGCCTTGCAGATAGGACTAGGGAGACGCTAAGGAAAGGTACAAATGCTGGTTATGGTTATGGGTACTACTGTTTTCAGGTACCTACTTATCTCATCTTGCAGGATAAAGGTGTACCTAGCACGGTGTCCATATAAAACAGAGGGAGTACTTTTCCTCCTTGCCTCCCGACATCTCCTCCCGAATGACTTTGTAAATTTCCCCCAGAGCAGAGGCTCTGCTAGATGCGTTTCTGTGCCTCCCAGTATCTAGCACAGTGCTGGACACATAGCAGGCACTTCATGAATACCAATGACCAT